GGATAAAACAGCAGTAACAATTTATGTCATAGTGTTACAAACCAAGAAGGACGGGCGTGAAGGTAAGAACTGGGAGGGTGATACGGGGGGAGGATGGGGCAGGGGTTTTGACTTGGAGACCGCTAAAAGAAAATCCGCTACCACGCTAGTGATGGTCGCCGAGTAATCGCTTAAAAGGGTGGGGAGGGGGTCAGCTAGGGAAACAAAAAGGGACGACAGAAGGGGTTCAAGGATGTTGTTTCTTAAATGTTGATGAGTCGGGCAGCGGAATAATATGTGGTCTAGGGTATCGGGCTCAGATGAGCAAAAGAGACAGAGTCTATTGATGCGTGGTATGTTTGCAAATCTTCCAAAGTGAACAGCTGATGGGAAAATGTTTAGTCTTGCTAGCATAAAAGCCCTCCTTTTACTTGGATTAATTAATTTACTAAAATAGTTTGAGGGTCTACCGAGTGAAGGGGAAAGGCCGAAGAAGTGAGGGGAACAAATAGGATTTAAATTGGGGAGTAATAAATTGAGTTCCTGTTGCCAGAGTTTAGATTTGATGATTTGATGGGCTCTGTGAAGGGTGGTGTCTGAAAGAGATTCGGGGGAGAGGTCCAAGGATGCGAGCTTAGCATCAAGAATATTGAACCACTTGGATGAAAAGGGATCTTTTAGTAGGTCATTGAGTATGGAATCTGGTTGGGTATTGAGGTGTAGTCTAAGCCAGAACTTGAAGGTTAGGGACCAAGCGATAGTAGAGGGAAGGTGCATGCCTAATTCGAGTATCAATGTGGACAATCTAATTAGGTTTGGGACTCCAAGAATCCGTCTGAGAAAGGAGGCAGCGACTTTATCAAGGTCTTGATTAGCAGCCTCGATCCAGATTGGGGCTCCATATAGCAGCTGGGAGAGGATTTTGATTTGAAATATATGGAGAGCAGCCGGAATGTACTGGTTGCCACTGTTGAAGTGGAAACGGGCGACTGCATTTAAATGTGGCATGGCCACATTTAAATGTCGTCATATATACTAAATAGGGAAGTGTTTGATGACATCCTTCCCTGAGATAACAGTGGGAATTTGGTTTTATTTCACCCTACCACTATTATTAGTTGTTTCTGTTATATCCAAGCCTTTAAAATTAATTTTGTAGTTATAGTGTATATCTTCATTGTTAATTGCCCTGAGTAATACTTTGCACTAAGTAGGGCAGTCTATAAATGAATGAATAAATGAATGCAAGATACCAAGATGGGAGAGGCTAATTGCTTCCCTCCTGCGAACGGCGATTCTATCTGTGCAAGTATCATCTGAACAGATATATGTACAATATGCCCCACCATGTGATGTAAAAAAACTTCCACAAACACTTAAATATCTCAGGACCATTAAAAAGGTATTTGCTGATTACACATTTGCAATAGGATACCCATCTTACCTGGTACCACATGGAATTGGCTGAGCTTCAGGAAAAAGAGGAGGAGTCTTTGAGACACCACGTGAATTATGCAAATCTGGCCTTTCTTCCTGGCTCTAAAGAAACATTGGACAGGTAGGATAAAAATAGTGAAAAATGGAAAATGACAAACGAATCCTTCTTTTCATAAGGGTCAAATGCAGAGTGCTTTCATAATCTCGTACTGTTAACACTAATATTAAAGACCAATGTATAGATTTCTGTAGCATCTTTTCTCTTATTCTGTGATCAAAGGTAAAGGTTCCCCTTTACAAATGTCCAGTCGTGTCCGACTATAGGGCGCGGTGCTCATCCCCATTTCCAAGCTGTATAGCCAGCGTTTGTCCGAAGACAGTTTCTGTGGTCACGTGGCCAGCGCGACTAGACATGGAACGCTGTTATCTTCCCACTAAGGTGGTACCTATTTATCTACTTCCATTTGCATGCTTTCAAACTGCTAGGTTGGCAGGAGCTGGGACAAGCGATGGGAGCTCACTCCATTGCGTGGATTCAGTCTTATGACTGCTGGTCTTCTGACCTTGCAGCACAGAGGCTTCTGTGGTTTAACCTGCAGTGCCACCACATCCCTTTCTGTGATCATACTTAGAAGTGTTACGGATAAATATTGATGATTTTTAAAATGTCAAACTCAGGTTTCAGGCTTTCAAAATAGATCAGTAGTTATTGGCTAATCAGAATCACTGGAAGGTCTTAGAATGTTACATAGGTTAAGATTCAGACAACTGAAATCCTTGATTACGTTTAGCAGCTGCTTCCCTTGTACTTACAATACAGGACGGCATTAAAAAACCTGGTACAAATTCACCCTCCTCCAGATAGTTCAATTATGTTTTCAACTAATACAAATTTTGTTTTAAATTGTGAAGATATGAGTACTGCAGCCAAAACTCTGCTCACGGCCCAGGTTGAATCCCAGATAGCTGGCTCGAGGTTCGTTCAGCCTTCCATCCTTCTCCGGTCTATAAAATTGAGAACCCAGCTCATGGGTGGGGGGAACCAACATGTAGCCTTCATAATTAAGCTGCAAATTGCCCAGAGAGTGCTTTAAGCTGTATGGGGTGGTATATAAGCAGCATGTTTTTGATGATGAAAATGTTGTCCTACCTGCAGATTTCCTGTCTCCTCAGACCACCAAACTTCAAAGTCCTTTTGCAACTTCACTTTTGCCTTTTCCATAAGTAGCTGCAAGTGTTCAATTTCTATCTTCAGTCCTTTCAGGCGAGTAAACATTGTTTTATAACTGTAGAAAACAAAAGAGAATATTCATTGTAGACTAACAGTTCTAGAAATACTGCCAGGACTAGTGTGGAACTGTATTATCCCAGTTCCCCTAGATAAAATATATGTAATACTTGGTACATCAGTGAAAATCATACGCTCTACTAATTGCTTTAAATTGAGGGGGGAAATGAGACTACAAAAATATTTGGGAGATATGACTTGAAGTGAGAGGAGGTAGACTGTTAATCAGAAAATTTTTTAATTAAACAAGTTAAGATATCAAAAATATCATATATAACCTGCTATGATGTAACCAAGCATGGTGCTGTTAATTGCCTGCCCATCTACCAATTTTTTGCCATTAATGATTGCTTTTTTGTTTTGGCAACAAATAATTTAATTTGGCATTTACATGGTAAGCCCCTTTCTGAAAGACTGCTCTCTGATTTGCCTGTTTCATTTATCCATCTGTTGCCAACTGGCCAGAAACAGATATACTTCTCCCCATATACAAAATGATCCAAATCAAGAGAGATGCAGAAATTTACAAGCTGTCAGAACAATTTGTTTGACTAACTAACTAGATTTAACTCTTCCTACTGTTGATGCAAAGCCCACAGACAATGAACTCCAGCCAACTTAATAGCGTATATGAAACATATACAAGTAACTTAATCCTTAATAACATACACAACACATATTGTCAACATTTTAAAAACATAATCATGCTACAACAACCTTATCTTCTCTTTTTCAATTTGTGCCCGAAGTGCTTCCTCTATTGGATCATGTTCATTCATTTCTCGAGGACTGACAACAGCTGCAAGAGATAACTGGTAATTGTTATAAAATGCAGGGCCAAAGGAAGGCTACACACTGAAAGTATAATTGAATGGGTTGTTACTGGAGTTTTTCATTTTGGGAGCCCTGTCTCTGCCAAAGGAATATTCATTCTGAGCTTGCCCTAGGAATTTAAAGCTTCTTTCCTCTGAAAAATTCTAAGTGCCAATTTTACTGTCTTAGAGATATGCTCCATAAGGGCAACATACACTTTACATTAAATGCATGATCATGTTCGTATCCTGGTATTCTTTAAAAAATGTCAATAAAACCTACAAGTGCCACTGAAGGGAAGAATCAGTTTCAGGGCTGTGACAACAGGGAGGCTGAGCCCATTTCCCCTGTGTTGCAGTCCTAACAGGAGCGAGCAACCTCTTCTCTCTGCACTGCACAATGCCAAGGTACCGTCATGGCTATTTAAGCACACATATACCACTAAACATGTTAAATGTGATTATACAATGAATGTAACTTGGCTTTTGTTCTTCAGTATGTTATGGATCAGCATAAGCAAACTTTGAAAATACCATCCTCTGTGGGGTGCATATGTCCCTCACAGTGCTCTAGATGTTCAATATTGTCATATTTTGTTGCTTCTCTTACATCTCCCACCAGTTGTTAGTTTCCTCTCTAGAGACATTTGATTGAGCTCCTTCTTGAAGATCTCTAGGAGACAAATACAGTGGTGCCTCACTTAACAGGTGCCCCGTTTAACGATGAAATCGCATAGCGGTTAACTTTTTGCGATCGCTTTTGTGATTGCTTTGCGATGTTCCCCATGGGGAAAAGTCGCTTTGCGATGATCGGTACCCTGTCTTGCTTACTGATCATTGCAAAGCGATGATTTTTAACAGCTGATTGGTGCTTCCAAAATGGCCACCGGGTAAAAAAAATGGCCACCTGCTGTTTTCTGGGACGGATTCCTCGCTTACCGGGCAGCGAAAATGGCCGCCGTATGGAGGATTTTTGCTTAAAGGTGAGTCTGAAGCCCATAGGTACGCATTGAAGAGGTTTCAATGCATTCCTATGGGCTTTTTAAAATTGCATAGCGACGAAATTGCTTTGCAGCGATTTTTGCTGCACCGATTATCGTTGCTATGCGAGGCACCATCTCTTCTTTGGTTGTACCTGCTGCCAGGCCATGGTTGATCTGGTGTGCATTGATATTTTGTTGCTATGTTTTCCATTTTTGTATTATATTTTTGATATATGCTGTTGCTGTTACTGGTATATTGCTATACAGTGGTGCCCCGCATAGCGAGGTTAATCCATTCCGGATTAACCTTCGCTATGGGAAAACATCGTAAAACGGATCAAAACCCCCAATTGGGGGGTTTAATGCGTTCCAAATGGGCCCAAAACTCACCGTTCTCTGATGTTTTCCCTTGTTCCGGCAGCCATCTTGGGTGTACCGGCAGCCATTTTGAGTGTCCCAGTGGCCATTTTGGGTGTACCGGTGCCCATTTTTTGTGTTCTGGCGGCCATCTTGGGTGTACCAGTGGCCATTTTTTTTGTTCCGGCGGCCATCTTGGGTGTTCCAGTGGCCATTTTTTTGTTCCGGCGGCCATCTTGGGTGTTCCGGCGGCCATTTTTTTGTTCCGGTGGCCATCTTGGGTTTACCAGCGGCCATTTTTTGTGTTCCGGCAGCCATTTTGGAGCTGCAGAACAGCTGTTCCCCCATCGTCATGCGAGCGTGCCCTCACATTAGCGATGGGCAAATCCGCATCGCAATGTGGATTCATCGTTCAGCGGTGCACTCGTTATATGAGGCACCACTGTATATTGCTTTTGGTGAAATTCTACCCAACAAAGAATCCCACAACAAGCAAAGCGGCAAGTGACAGTATTAAACTTTCTGACTCTTCACCTGCTTAAAAAATGGAATTCAGGAACGCTTGGAAACATGAAGCTATTTGATGGCAAAGATAACACCAAAACTATAGTTTTTACTTGAATATTAATGTAAAACATAATTTGGGATTTTCATATAAACTAAAAATGGGACAAAAATATATTGCCTAATAGAGATCTGCTGCCATCTTCATTGCTATTTTAGCCAAGAAAATAAATTATAATTAAACCTGCCACTAATTTACATTGCTCCAGGGAATTTGAGCAAACCATAGGGGCAATAGTGACTCCTTATTTACCTGTCAGCATGCTGGCTATAGTCATTAACCTCTACTTATAGCACCCAACAGCTCAATCAAAGATTGAACCATTTATAATCCCATTGAAAGCAGTTTAGTGCAAGTGTTTATTGCTGCCTATGTTTAATTCCTTATTTGCCTGGTAGTGAGTACAGTACAGATTAGAAGCATACCTTACTTATAATTCCAATATTGTCTTCTTTGAACATATATAAATTCTTACTTGTTTCTCCTTCTTTTACAGCTTTTATTACCAGCCACCCTAAAATCTAGTTCTTTTTGTTTATGACTAGAATTTGACTCAGTCAAGAGCTTCCTGGACGATCCTGATTCTGGGGATTATGACTATGCTAAATATAGAAAGCAATCTTTCCCACCTGGATGCCATCCAAATGTTTTGCTAACATCCCCCTATCATTCCTGATGTTAGTTAGGGATGATGGCAATTGTACTCCAAAATATCTGGACAGCATATGGGAAGAGACTATAAAGCTTCTAAAAGAAACTCTGGGACCTTTTCAAAGAGATGGTCATTATTTCTACTTGCTCCATTTAGTTTTCTTATCCATCTATTAAAGACTTCATGGTCCATAGATTGTATAAAGTACTTTTGCACTCTGACTGTTTGCCCACCCAGGCTGGCTTCATATTTGCAAATTCCCATATTTCTTAGCATGAGCTCTAAACTAAGGTGAATTGGACATCAACATGTCAAGACAGTACTTGCCCAAAGTACGTGTGTAGTTGTCTGGTCCAATATAATAAATAAAGTGTCTTTCAACTATATATAAGAAGCAACAATGATAGTAGTTCAATGGAACATGAGCAAATTGCTGTTTGAGAAATGTTTGAAGATTCAGGCTGCTTACTACTGCTTGTTATTGGTTTTAACTAAGATGAGTTGGCCACCATGTAACAATTTATCTCTTGACTTTCTGACAGGTGAAGGCTTTTTTTCTCAGACAATCTTCTATTCCTAAGTCTGCATGTGAACTAATGTACGTATTGTGTGGTGAAGGCCACAACTAGGGCTTAGAAGTGAATATATTTGTCAGCATATAAATGATATGGACTAGAGGAACTCATTGTGAATTCATGACTGCAATATATGAACATTTCACATGACTGACACAAAACAATGAGCACATGCCATGAGGTATGTGTTATCTTATCATCCATCCCCCTTGCCAACTCATAAGTGGCTGTCTGGTATTTCTGTCTAAAAAACAAAAAAAGTAAAAAGTAAAATAGTAAAACAAACCTTGGTGTCATCTAATGACTTAAATTCATAGGAAGAAATTTCAGAAGAAACACTTGGAAGCATTTCATACAGTTGGTGTATGGAATCAAACATTGTAACATTAATAGCAATCACCTTAAGACGCCTTAAAAATGGTTCATACAGAAAAGATAATCCATTCAAGGGCTATTGGCTAGGAGATCTGAAAAATGAAATTTCTATGTGGAGAGGTTACACATATGGTAAACATGTAGTGCAGTAATATTACACAGACATTCCAGGTGGATGTGTCTACAAAATGTTTAATAACTACAGATGGGCTATTCGTATTCATATACCTGGATATACAAATATGAATAGCAGCATCACAGGTACCTCAGAGGTCCATTCCCTCCCTCCAGAACCAGCCAGTCCACTCACTATTTGGCGCATAGCCCTTGGTTCTGTCATTATTGTCATTGCACCAATCGCAGAAGGAGCTCAGCTGGCTCTTCTCCACCTCCCCACGCAGCTGAACAGGGACAGTCCCTGTCCCACCTCTGCACTGGAGTGGTTGGCTGTGTGGGGAGGTGGAAAAGAGCTGGCCAGGTTCCTTCTGCGATTGGCAAGAAAACAATGACGACAGAGCCAAACACTGAATGCCAAATGGAGAGTGGACCAGCCAGTTCTGGAAGGAAGGAATGGACCTCTACAGGACCTGTGGTGCTGCCACGAGTATTCATATTCATATTCATATCCTCAGGGATAGGAATGCAAATAGCCCACCTCTGTTAATAATAATGTATAAACTGTTATTCTGCCCAGATATCTCTATAAAATATCTGTTTGTCAAAGCAAAATAAAGAGAAGGTGGAAGCAATATAATGAAGAGCTACACACAAGAGATATGAGGATGAGAAATTCCTTTGAAGAAGTCTCCTATGATGAAGAACTTGCAATTTTAGAAAATGAAGTAAAAACTCATTTCAAATCATTTGGAAGAAATAAATCACCAGAACTAGATGGCACACCGCTAGAACTATTACATGCTACATAAAGTGAAAAACATAATAGGAATATGTCAACAAATGTGGAAAACAAAACAATGACCTATAGATTGGAAACATTCAATATACATTTCAGTCCCCAAGAAATGAGACCCCAAGGAGAGTCTGATATTCAAGCTGGATTCTGAAAAAGAAGAGCACTAGAGATCGTATTGCAAACATATGTTGACTACTGGAGTATACCAAGGCATTTCAGAAGATCAATCAATGCTTCATAGACTACAACAAAGCCTTTGACTAGGTGGATCATGAGAAGCTATTGATTGTTCAAAAAGAAACAGGTGTACTTCAACACTTGATTGCACTGATGCATAACTTATATTGTGGACCATAGGCTACTGTTAGTACAGAATATGAAAAAACAGAATGGTTTCCCATAGGCAAAGGTGCCAGATAAGGGCTTATATTAACCTCCAATCTGATTGATCTGTATGCAGAACATATCATAAGGAAAACTGGATTAGTTCGGCAGATGACACCATATTTACTGGTGGTAAAACATATCATAAGGAAAACTGGATTAGTTCAGCAGATGACACCATATTACTGGTGGTAAATATAATATATTTAAAACATTACTGTTTTAAATGTATTATAAAATGTCTTGAGAATTGTGGTTTGTAGGCAGGAATTAAATATATATATATATAGCTCAAGATTAACTTTGTATTAGAAGCAATTACCGTATTTTCTTGTGTATAAGACACCCCATGTATATGACGCCCCACTTTTCTAATCCAAAATTAAGAAATCTAAGTGGGGCTTAGCAAGTGTAGGGGGAAAGGGATCAAAGTGCTGCCAGATCGCTTTGATCCCTGCTTTCCCCTCCACTTGTTTTTTGTTTTCTTCTCAGCTTACTTCCGTATATAAGACGACCCTCAATTTGTCAGCATTTTAGACAAAAGTATAGTCTTATACACGGAAAAATACGGTATTGATTAAAACCTCAGTATAGCCAGCCTGTGTGGCCTTGGGCAAGCTGCACAGTCCCAGGGCTTCCCCAAAAGAACGGAATGGTAAACCACTTCTAAGTATTGTCTACCTGTAAAACTCTGAAAAGGGACATCATAAATCTGACTTGATGGCACATGAGGATGACGATGGTGAAGTAACACTGTTTTTAATTCACCGCTTATATATCACTGTTAAAAAGTACAAGTTGTCTCAAATGCATTAATGCTCTCAAATTGAAGGACATGTTTGCCATGACAAAAACTCAGCAATTTCTGCATAGCCAAGTGAAAATAATTATGATATATATTTACCTTTGCCTGCACCTGTGAACATACAATGTTGTTTCTTTTGCCTAACTGGATCATGCAGAAATGTCTTCAGCACAGGCATACACAAGCATAATTTTAATGAGTAAAATTTGCTTTTTATGCCTATTTATTTTTTCCTTATGTTCCTTGCCATTTTTGCAGATTCTCTGCCAATAAAATCTTTCACCATGGCACTGAAGAAATGTGAACCCCAGAAGATATAAATCAGTCAAAATTCCCCTAGGCAAATATTCCTGGAATGTTTTTGAGGCTTTCTTCCAGAGCTGGTACCAAAATCTTGTTCCAAGATCAATGAAAAATGTATGCTTTTAACAAATATCACTTGATCAACCACCTTTTAGTCTCAGAATTAAAAAAAAAACTATTAAAGCCAAGTGTTTTACTCTGCACTCAGGGAAACATCTGAAAAATGAAGTTTCTTATGTATTTTAAATGAAGAAATACCACTAGAGGTCACTCTAGTAAATGAGTTCAAAAGCACAACATGGTTGCTGTGAAGAAATTGACAGATAGATGTGAGTTGTTTTTTCAATTGTATTCAAAACATCAGAAAGCACTGTTGCACTGAAGCAACATTAAGAACATCAAATGCCATGAGAAATTGGATGCATGTTAAATTTTCATACTATGCTGCCTGTGGCGAATAATTTTAGTGTGGATTTAAACAGTTCAAACAGCAATAGCGTTAACCATAAATCATAAATATTCTGAATTTACATGAAAACACCTGATATCAGTATGTGAGAAATCTGCCAAGCAAGGAGAAAGAACAGGAAATCCAAATCACTGAAGAAATTGGAAAAAAGTGAACTGTCTGGGGAAGCATGGTCCTTTTTGTATTTTAGCGGAAACCAGGGTTGTGATCAGACAACCTCTTAGACATATTTGTGTAGCTGTGATTGGCAGACGTAGATAATCAGCTGATAGAGATAATATATTGATAGTCAATATACGTAAGTAACTAGGTTTGTAACTTGTTCTACCCCTAGATCTGATAGGCAGAACTAGGAAGCATGCAATAGAGATGTCATAATCACAATGCATCTTATATCTAGGTTGCCCAAGAATAAAGAGTTGAAAATTCTTTGGGAGAAAGGGAGATAATCAATCAAATAACAAGCATTTTATATAGCTAGGCAATAAAGCCCTGAATGTTCATTCATATATAAGTTGAAGGAATGAGGAAAATTGAGTGGGCATCAGGAAGGCTGGAATGTTTAACTGAATGATCTGTTATAATACCTAATTTTAAAAACTTTGAATACTTATGTGCTGCTTCTTACAAATTTGATTTCTTCTGCTGGCTTGTAATACCACTTTTGTACTGACAATATCCAGCTGTATCTTTCCATTCTCTCGTTTACCTCTCTGCTCTTACTAATATTTCTTGTTGTCTTAACAGCTATGTCTGCCAAAATGTCAGATCATTATCTCAAATGTAAAAGGCAGAAGATAGTGCTTTTCTGTAATTTTCACTTTGCCTTCTCTTTTTCTTGGAACTGATCATCCTTTGGGATAGGTATTTCATAACCAAACAGGGGCATTTGGAAATTTTGGGTAAGGGAGCCCCATGCTCTATGAATAGGTTAACTGGCAATTATATCAGATCTACAGTATCTGTTTCTTTTACAATTTGAAATTTTACTGCATTTCAGTTCAGTCTCTCTATCAGTCCAAATCTCATGTTGACTTGGTTAGACTATCTCCCAGCTTCTGTAAGGTTCCCCCTTCCCTCCACGTTACCTGTGGTCAAGATCCATGGTTTATTTGTTTGTTATACAGCACTCAATACAGATTAGGCAACACATAAATAATAACAAATGATGATTGACTATCATATACTTAATTAGCCAGTCAACCAATCATCTATACAGATATAGTGTATGTAGGGCAAAATCCTCCTGGGGTAAAGTTATGAAACATAAATTGGATCCAGTGCTAGTAATACTTAATCTAAATGAATTGAACTGGTTTCAGGTTCCAAGACTCTCTAGGGATCCCTTTTGCCCTGGGGAAGCAATTGGGATTGTCCAGATGAGGGAGGGGAGCTTTTAATAGTCAAAAATTGCTGCTGGATTGCTGCTGCCAGGAGTCCTAGACCTTGGAAGTGGAGGGCAGGGGAATAGGAATCTTTAAAATTAGTTATAAATTAAATATTACTGATGCCAGATCCTGTTTGCACAGTACAACTTTACACAACAGGATTTTGCCTATAAAATACAAGCATTTATGAAAAGCACGAATGGCAAGCAAGGCATTTTTTCCTTTTTTCACAGACAGAAAAATGACCTCTGCTTAGACAAGGCTTGCTACAGCACATGCCTGCATCTAGTAGTATGTCTATTACTTACTCTAGGAAAAGAACCACTCTAACTGGGTTATTCATTATGATGGAACCTGGACTGACAATTACAATGGTTCTCCCTGGTCCCAGCAGTTTTTAAAGACACATCATGGTTCTTAGAATTTTTGTTTGTTTTTTGTTTTACCATGGGTGCACAAGCAATGTGGACTATTACAGCAACCCAATACAAGGGGCCTTATGAGTTTTTACATGTGAATTTTGATATAATTCAGAGCTAGTTCTTATGCTTAACAATGGGTCCACATTACTTTTCCTTTTCCTAGCATATCTTATCTGCTGGGATTCAATTACTCCTTGAACTATTGGCAGCATGTCATTGAGAATCCTGAACTTTCTGTATATGTTGATGTGGCAAGAAAAAAAATGAAAGTCTGTCTTCTATGAAGATTATCTTGTATTAGAAATGTACATTTCTAAACATAGACGTCCAACAGGGAAACAGATCATTATTCAAAGTGTAAGTGATATTATGTCCACAGAGATGGCCATTTTAGATCAAAGGCAGCTGTTTAAACCAAGATTTGAAACAGAAGAAATCTTAATTAATTTTGCTATCAATCGGTTTGCTTCCATGAATGTCCTGATGTATTTATGGTTATAGAAATAGCTTCTAGGAAAGCTCACAGGTGTCTCTGTTGAAGAAGATACAATAAAAAAGAAAAAAAAATCTCAATCCACAAACATGGCTCTCAATCTTTCTTTGTGATTTAGCAAAACAATCAATAATCTGATATTATTATGATATATGAAAAATATTAGAAATTGCTGTGTTGTCATTTTCAGTGCCACTGAACTGGAATCCATGATCATCTATTTGTTCAAAGCAAATGAATTAATATTTAATACAGCCTTTCACACATTAGCATCTGTGAAGAATGAAGACTACTTATACATTTGAGAAGGTTCATCAGCTTTTCCAGAGATATCTGGAAACATGTGCAGTGCATATGTTCTTCTATCTGTTCACAGGCTCTGATGTCACAGTTCATCCCAGGACAACTGCTAAATAAAACAAACCCAGGCATAAATCAAAATAGATCAAAGGATTATTCCATCAAGTAGTGGAATAGTGTATGCCTAGTAAATCAAAAGGGCTAAATCTTCAGTAGCTATCACTAACAATGGTAATAAACTTGTTTTTATTGTTGTTCCATCATATGATTCTTCAGTAAAATGAGGGAAATGTATTTAGTACTGTTTGAAATATATTGGGCGGGGAGCATAATGAACATCAAGAAGAATTTTGATAACACATGGGCACTTTTGCATAGAGGTAAAGAGTACTACTGCCTTATACCCACCTTGAGCTGCTCTTTGCATGTGACGTTGCATTATCTCTTCTTTCAAGCTGTCTGTGCAAAGGTAAAATAAAATGGATTAAAGATTTTTCAGCACCTCAAACATCAATATTTAAACTTTTTATGTTTTTCTAGTTTTCCTTACATTGTGCAGACAGCACAGGAATATACCTTGCATCGCTAGGAAAGAGATCTCCTAAATCTTATGTCCTTATCTTTTCAGAAGCCAAGTTTTGTGTGCTGGTTTTGCTGCCTCTTACAGCATCTTGAATACTAACATGTTTTATTTGGCATGAGCTATTGCAGACGGCAGCCCACTTCTGCAGATGCATCTCATGCCACAAGTCTCTTTGTTCTTTATCTGGACACTGCCAGTGCTACAAGAAATGAATGATATGGCTCAAAGCATTACTTTATGTAACACATTGCTCTGCAATAGAGTCCTAATATAGCAGTACAATCACTCCCATAGAAATATAATCTGATACTGTTAAATATATATATCATGAAACTCTGATAGCCAAGTGGAGTGGAAGAAAAACAGGCTTCATAAAACTACTGACGGGAAACAGCTACTACTAATCCAGCATTTTTTTTTTAAAAAATCCCTAAACATTTCAGTATTCTGAGAATAGGAGAGGTAGAGCTTCTAAAATGTACATTACAGAGGGTAGTTAGGACAGAGGTTCTAAAACTTCCATGCTTAATACAGCTATGGATCAGATCATTTATATACACGAGCTGCACAGCCTGCTTATTCTCTTAGTCAAAGAATATAGTATAAAAGTGGAGTCAGGCATACAAGGAAAAAATGTTAAAGTATACGGTCAAACCCCAGATTCCAAATTAAAAAGCTTTATCAAGAATTTGGTGTGGATACAAAGGTGGGAGAGAGAAACTAATCAGAGGACTCTTCAAATAACCTGAAATAGGAAATCCATAGATGGAATCCCAAATGTACTCATCAGAATCAAGGATCACTAATGAAGTGTAATAGGCCCCAGATTTTTCACAGATTGTTCAATAATTCTAATTTTAAGGTCATGGGATTTGGAGGGGATTACATGGGAGAAGGAGGTATATCGATCAGATATTGGCTTAGATACATTACTAGGTCAGAACTAGAAAATTCAGAGACAAGATGCTTGCGGTGTAGGCATAGGAGCTCCATGACAGACAGATCAGCATCTTTTAACAATATAGGATGGAGAAAATGAAAGGTGTGTAGGAGAGATTTCCAACCCACTCCTGATAAGGATGCTTATGAAGCTGAATTTGGTGTGTTGGTCCATGTGTGGTATTTTGACCTTACACCCAGAACACCTTTTAAGCAAGACAGAGGCAGCGATAAACAATAACAGGGAAAAGGGCAAGGAAAAAATGTGATCATAGTAGCATTTTTTTAAAAAAGGTGATTGACAAGGGAAAGACGAAAACAAAATATTGGGGCATACATGAAGAAGTGATAAGAGAAGTACTAAAATGAAAAAAAGTTGTTTGAAGAGAAAACTGTTTTTAAACCTCTGGAGCACCCTTTTTTGGTGCTGCTACTTGTGGTGGACAAAAGGCCTGGGGGAACTATGAGATGGATCTGGGAGCATGCGCAGAAGAGATGAAAGAAGGGAGCTCGTCATCAGGCTTAAAAGCCCTGGAATGTCCTGAAGGGCTGGTCTTCACAGGTGCAAAATTTAGCTATGTGCATCATAGATGATCATGGAGAAGAAAGGCATTTTATTTTGAAGTATTTTTCTACAAATGTATCTACACTGATTTCTCTCCTTTGTTCACAGCAGTCAAAATTGGGAGAGCTACATATGAATCATAAACTGGAGGCATTGCTTTATAGAAAGATAGGAAACCTTGCACCAGATCAATGTGTCCATTTAGACCCGTATTTTAAGTGCTAGCTGCATCTCTCTGGTGTCTTCAGGAAAGTTACTTCCCATCACCTGCTATCTGCTCCTTTTAACTGTAAACTGAACCTGGAATCTTCTACATGTAAAGCTTGCATTTTTGCCACTTAGCTACGATCCTTCCCCTCCTGCTTTCATGTGAACCTGGCCTGACGAGGAGCCTGTTGAAACTTCCTGCACTCCTGCAGCATGTGGAGACTATGTGAAATTCAGATCTCCCCCCATTCCATTTGAACATTTGATTATCTTTAAATATATTCCCATGTTTTTACATGCCAATTTTAATTTATGTCTCTTCACTATCCATCAGTTATTTTTAAACTTTAATTTAATATCTTATGCATCCACGACACTGATTTAAATTAATTGCCATCCAGTCCATTCAGAGTTATGGTGAACCTTTGAGGGGTTTGTAGGTATAAAATATTCAAAAGTAGCTTACTAGTTGTTCTTTTTATTGATGCTACAAACCATGTAACTGATCCAAAGCCACACCACTGTCAAGGCACATCACCCCATCAGCACACAGGTTCCGGGTGATCTTGACTGATCCCGCTCCCAGAATGCACAGTGGATATTCAAAATCCCAGCTCCTGGCTCTGTAGCCAGGCACTCCAACTCACTGAATTACACCTGATTTATTATACTAATTACTGCCATAATGATTGTATAATTTCTAGTAAAAAATGAATTCCTTATTAAGGGAGAGAACTAAACTAAACTTCAGTAAGTTTACACGTCATAAAAGCAATAAGAAATTGTATTTCAAAAAAGTATATATGATGGGTGCCTATATACTTGCACTCTACACTGGATCCTTGCTGGATAAGGTACAATTATAAGGGGTCAAAAACAGACCTTGGTGATTCCACTTTAAATCAATTTTTGTTAGTGCTGGAAGAGCTACACTGTTTCCTAGCTTCCTGGGGAAACTTCATGATAAATGTGAGAGCACAAAAGATTCCAGGATAAGTTTTCACTATGGCTGCACTTCTTTAAAGAAATATTTGGCTGGAACGTATCTTTATTTTATGTATTGTATAAATCTGAACATATTTTAAAATAATGTACACATGGGAATAACTTCATCAGAACCCATGTATAAAGAAGAGGAAGAAAGGAAGCCAAAATGAGAAGCAGTTTGAGAATCTATTGAGTTCAAGGGAATATGGGATCACCATAATGATTTCACAGCAGGATGTGAAAGGATGGTTAAAACTGAGCCAGTGAGAAATAATTGTACTGTTAAGAAATACATTAATGTTCTGAAAATGAAGAGGTAGTTCTCAAGCACAGAAGGATATGAAAGCATAATCTTATATAGTTTGATACACATCTCCTATACACAGCTTTTCAAATTATTGTTGCCATTGTTGTTATAAGTCGGAACTGACTTATAGCAATCCTAATAGCGCTTTCAAGGTAAGTGTATTAGTTCCACTGCCTCAGCGAGCTTCCATGGCTGAGTGGAACTTCCAGGATCAAAAACATTCAGAGTACTGTACTCATTACATCCCTAATCCTGAATGCTATTAACATCTGCCCTAAATCCAAGCACTGAAATTAGAATTACAGTGCCTTCTCCTATACCATTTCACTGAAGTCACGGTTCAAATAATGTCACTAACCCCATTGGCTTTATTTATTATTTAGACCTTTCCATTAGGGAAGAGTTCCAAAGCAAAATTTTGCTGATCAAGATAGTATTCTGAAAAAGTAATTTTCCTTTTGAGATTAATGAGGCTTTAGCCACTGGAAAAAGGGCTATTCATCATCTTGAAACTGAGGTAAGTATGCTGATTCATGGTTTGAAATCTTTCATAAGTGTTTAAGGTTGGCATAGCAAATTAGCACCAGAGCTGAGTCGGAACATAGCATGGCTTAGAGTGCGCCTTCCTATACCCTCTCATTGAAATCACAGCTTGATAAAGTTTCAGGACAGACAAAGTATTCAGTGGGGGAAAAGACAGCATGGAAACTGATTATGATAGCAACTTTCTAGCTTAGGCTATAAAATTGATATTCAAAAAATTATTTACATACAACATTTTTCTGCCTTTCTCTGTGTCTGATACTGTTAATACTATGGTATCATACAAATAAAAACAGATGCTCTGTGCAGAGGCATGCTAGAAAAAACATGCTCAAACTCATGTGTGTTGCTGTTTTCAGTACCAGTTCAATTAAGAATAAGAGTCAGTTAAAGCTCACTTTCCAGGTGGAGTTGGTGGCCAGGGGCGCCTTCCTTCAGCTGCGGAAATTGTACCAGCTACGGCCCTACATGGACGGGTGGAGTCTCATGACAGTTACACACGCACTGGTAACATCTCGTATAGATTATTGCAATGCGCTCTACGTGGGGCTGCCTTTGAAAATGGTCCGGCGACTGCAACTGGTCCAGAATCGAGCTGCGTGGCTGGTGAGTGGTGGGGCCGCTAGAGAACACATCAAGCCGATTCTGTTTAAGTTACATTGGTTACCAGTTGCTGCCCGGGCCCAATTCAAAGTGCTTGTTTTGACATATAAAGCCCTAAATGGCTTGGGCCCTGGATACCTGAGGGACTGCTTCCTTCCATATGAGCCTACCCGGAGTTAAGATCTAGCTAGGGGGCCCTTTTGAAAGAGCCATCCCTCAAGGAGGTAAGAGGGATGGCTTGTAGACAAAGGGCCTTTTCGGCAGCTGACCCCAGACTATGGAATGCCCTCCCAACTGAAATTCGTCTGGCGCTGACATTGATGACATTTCTGCACCAGGTCAAAACCTTCCTGTTCCAGAAGGCTTTTAACTGAAATAACATCAACTGTGGGTTCTGATGGCAATTTTAATTGTATTTTAATCTTTATCTTTTATTGTATTTTTATTGAATTTTAATTGTTGTAAGCC